AAATTATGATATTTCTAGAAAAGAATGATAAATATACATTGGCTAAAACATTTGGGGAGATTCGATCATCATCTAATGTTCTAAAACATGGAAAAAACATCAAAGATAAGAGTTTGAGGAGAAGACTTATGGCATTCAACATGCTTCACTGGAGAGATCCTAGAAGAGTGTAAGTGTATGTGAGAGTTCTCCTGAAGGAGACCAAATGCGTGCTTGTAATTGTCTATACTCAAAATTAATGGAAACTTAGATATTTTCTTATAACTTAAGTGTAATCTCGGTGAAGAACATCGGCAAGATCATTCTAACTCATTCAATATTAAATTTATAATAAAATATTTGTTGTGATTTTCTATAATGTGTATAACTTCAATCTCTTTCTCCATTGATTTAGATTTTATGCAAATCAATATCATTTTTTCATTCGATTATGTGTAATTTGTATTTTAAGTTGACAATTTAACCATCTCCATGTAGTTTACGATTAATATAATCACATAAGATGTTAAAATGACTTGTGATCTAGTGATATAGGAGTAGGCTAATGGAACAATTAGATTAACCTACACTACTCTAAGAGAATATGAATATTATTTTTAAGATAGTGCAATCGTGTAGGAAAATTTGCAAATACTAGGGCTTTTGTGTGGTTAGGGGACTACCCGTATTATGAAACCTTAATTTTTTTATGACTACTGGGAGCGACTAATAAAAATTTTTGTTTCTAATTGTTAACTTTATTATAGTCGCTTTAATAGATTTGGTTTGCATAGAACCAATTTAATAGAGGTGTTCTATCACTTTTTTGAACTCAAAACTAGTTATAGATTTTAATTCAAACAAAAATTAGGATTATAAATTTTATAATAAACAAATTTTGAACATTCATGCTAGACTCAAAATCAATAGACTATGACTTTTTCAGACTTTAGAAGTTCACTCATTCCCAGTAGGATCGATGCACTGACTCAATTTCTTATACTACCTAGTCATCACACATTTCGGTCATCGTGGGTAAGTAGAGGATTATGGGAGGTGTTTGGCTAAATTTTGATCGATTGGAGGTGTTTGGCTATGGTAATCCAAATTTTGGTCATTGTGGGTAAGTAGAGGATTTATGGGAGGATTGTCGGGGATATTACGGAGTAGAGGGCCGCGGTTAGAATCTAATCAATAAGGATCCAATTCATGTATTGAGTGTTCACTGATGGGATGGCTTTGAGAAATTTCGGTAAACAAGGAATGCTTCCTCGTAGGAATCCAATAAAACTATTTGCAGTAAATGTTTTGAGTATTTGAGCTTTCAAAATAGGATAATTATCTGTTGAGAGTGGGAATTGGGTAAGATGATGTAGGTTATGTAAGAGAAATTTCAATGTTGGTGGTATTATAGTAGTTTGTGATGGATCCAAGAATGGATGATCCGGGTTTCAGATTGAGAGGAAGGTAGACATTGTGAATGTAGGAAAAATGTAGCTGAAGTATAGGGTTTCAGATTGATGTTCAGTTAGCTGGGTAAAGAAATGAAGTATATGATTTTAGATAGGGAGAATGTAGTAAGAAGGATTCCTCTAAATGCGGAAATTGATGACTCCTCCAAAGAAATTGAAGAAAACTAAGAGAAATTTGAGGATTCCTCTAAATGCGGAAACCCTTCTAATGTGCCCAAGCAGCAGGGCAATCGGACAACGACCGGTGGTATAGACGAATCCAACAGTTAGGAAGAAGCTCTTACTTGTAAGGTACATACATTTCTCACCAGTCGCCGGTCGTCGGTCGCCAATGTGCCTTCAGTCGGAGTTGTCGCTGGTCGCCGATCAGGTAGAAGTAGATGCAAATGGTCTTGGGCAAGTGCTCAGATACCATAAAAAAGAATTGATATCGAATCAAGGGATTTACTCCCCACTACTCATTACCCAAAGCTAGGCTTAAACTTTATTACATAACTATCCTTTGTGAATAAAGGCTTAAAGTAAAGCTAGTACAATAAGGCAAAAATATCTATGACCTCAAAGGTAGAAGGCAAACTAAAAAGTGGTCGTGGCGGCTGGATCTAGAGTTAGGGGAAAGAAAAAATAAAGATTTGAGAAGAAAAAAATTAACCCTAACAATGCATTTCATATGAGATTGCTTGCTTAATCCCGCTTTGTTCCCCTTTACATGTTTCTATTGTAGTTCTTGTATCTCATTATTTACCTTTTCATTATTGAGTAACTACTTGATACTACATAGAAACTAGACTTTTCATCTTCGCACCAATCTCCCTTAAGGGATGTTTGGCTACATCTTAGATTTAAGTTGTGGGATTTACTAAATCTAGTAAATTAAATTTATTAAATTCTAAGATATTAAATTCAAATTTGTATTTGGCATTATTTAGGTTAAATCTAGTTAAAACGCATAATAAACGTTTGAAATTTATTTTTTAGTTTTTACAGATGAAGGAATTCATTCCTTAATTAATCCACCTTGAATCCAAATTTAATAAAATAGGGATTATTGTCACACCACATAAATTTTTGGATTTGGCCAACGACAGGATTAAAATGCATCAAATTCATGTTTAGTCGATTTAAGTTAAAACCAAACGTAAATCCTCCCGCAAATAGTGTACAAAAAACCGTCTTATATTAGTTCTAATTCGCACGCCATACGTATGAACCCTCTCACCCTCAGTTGAAACATCTCAAATTGAAACCCACCCACAATGCCTTTTTGCCTCCATTGTCTCACAAAATCTCTCTACCTCTCTCTCATTTTCTTGTACAATAGTCGGTCGCCTTCTCTTGTCATCACCCACTTCCCCACTCCTGTTCGTCAGATTGTATGCACTCATAAATAACCTTACCTCTCTTTGTGCTCGCTCCAACCAAACTTCGCTTGCACAATATCACACCTTCGTAGTATGATGTTAAATAAATTGCACCAAATAATCTAATTAAAGTAGCAAAAAGTCTTATTCATATTTTATGAAATAATTTGCAATTGAAATATGATTTTGAAAGACATAATTACTTTCAAAATTGTCAAGTTCAATATAGTGTCAAAATAAATGAAATTAAACACCCTTATATAATCCACCAAATTGCTTGAGTGTTTAAACTTAAACATTCACAAAATTTGGCACATGTTAAATTAATTTTTTTGCTTAAATTACTCTCATTTTGAAAAGTGGTAAAATAAACTGTATTATCTATAAAATTAAGTAACAAATCCAAATCAACTAATCTGATTCTCCTCATCATAAAGACCAAAATAGATGAGTCTAATGCTATTAATAATGTCCAAATAACAAAGGATAAAGTATTTTCAAACACTAAATCCCAATGATTGTTATATTGACTAACAATTTCAATCAAGTGGGGCTAATTATAAATAAAATTTTAAATGAAGTTTTCAAAATAATAAATCATAATTTATTCAAATTAAAATCAATTATTTAACGGCTTAAATCAAATTTCATACACCCTCTGCAATAGTTTATCGAGGGTGACAAAATTTTATTTGTTTCAAAGCACAAAAACAAATGTTATATCATATGTATCACTATATGCATACTCAAAATAATCTCCATCATTAACATATGACTCGAGTCCTTTGTCCTTGTGCTTTGACCCAAAACTTCACATATAGTAGCAGTTATGACTAAAGTCATATGACTGGTTGATTTGCCGTTAAATGAGATTTCAACTTTTGGTCATGGTTGTAACATGTATGTTTCATAATGATTTTCTACTTAGAGTTTTGACCATAAAAATGCCTTTTATTGACTCAAAAACCTCTATTACGTAGTGTCAACATAGATTTATGCCCTTAGATAGACATGCATCCCATATCTATAAGGTCTCTTGGACGACAAAACTCGTGGTTGTTGATAAAGATCCTTTAGTCAAGTTGAGTCTACTAACTCATCTACTAAGTAGATCAGAGACCATGACGACCTTAGATGAAAAAATCATGTGAACCTTGATCGAGTTTCGACATCATTTTCCCACAATTTGCTCTAAGCTTAAGATGCTAAATTTTATAATTTAAAACTTATCTGTTGTTATACATTGAATATTCAATGTTTAATGACTCGTTTTAATCGAAAGTGTTTTTATATTGTCCGAATGGATAATTAATTATAAGGACTTGCATTTATGGGAAACATTGAAACATAGATCCTAAAATTCTCACAAAATGAGGATGAAATCTATGCACAGTATCTTATCTATTGTCTTGCCTTCTAAAATTTTAACCCAATATAAATATAATGCTCTAAACAAGAGTTCAGGGTGCAAATTTTTGGAACACAAATTATGTAGTCCAATAACATAATAATTCTAATAACACTAGCTTCTCCGAGCGAAGTCATGATGCTACAACAATGAACATCAAGAGTTTATATAGTGCAAAAAGAATAGAAAGATTCAAACTAAAATTTATTAACAGCTTCCTCAAATTACTAATCTAAGTTTCAACACTTGAACGATGTTCACAAGAACATTGAGAATACCAAAGAGAATGATTTTTATGACCGAGGATAGTAGGCATCATATGAAACACGACCTTTTTAGTCAAATACAAGATCTTCATAGCCTAGAATCGTCAGACAATTTCTATAAATGACTAAAAGCAAGCAATCTAAAGAAGCGATCAACAAGCTCTCAGACTAACATTCTCAGAGACAGAGATGAACACCAGCACAGAGATAGAGAAACTTTTATCGGGGATCTAATATCATGTTAGAAACAAAAAAATAAGACTACAACTTTAGTTGATTAATTTTAATACAAGTGCATACATAGCTATATAAAAACAAAACAAAGAGAACAAAAAACAGAACATAATAAATGAGAGTGCCTATGATAAAGATAATATAATATATTAATATTGATAATAATAAAAACTCTGGATTTTTTTATAAACATTAATAATAGTCGTCATAATAACTCTAATCATTTTTTCGTTACTTCTTATGAGTTTGGCTTATGTTTTAGATATATATAGATAGAATGCGCATATTCAAATTTGGAGATCAAAGCCGGCTGGATACCTTTCTACATTTCAACAGGTCCATTTGGCCACTGTTCATGAAAGTATTAGTAGCTGTGGTCCATTCCACCAAATAAACTCCAAGCGATCCCTTCCCTATATAATCCAGTGTATTTCAGATTTCCATAACAACTCGTCTTCATCAATAACAAAGAAGACGATGAAGATGACCAACTTATTTTGGCTGACAATACTATTATGTTCCTGCTTCTCATTACCACGCCTGCACGAAGCTAGCCAAGAAGAGACGCTAGGAAAGCTGATAGAAGCAAAGAGGTCATCATTTTCTTCCCAACAATCTGATTTAGTCTCGGGATTTGAGACCACTAAGTCCACCAAAAGGGCCAATCTCAACGCACAGGATGGGTCAATGGAAGGAGATAAAATCTCCAAGCTTCCAGGCCAACCTGAAGGTGTTGATTTCAATCAGTATGCAGGTTACATTACTGTGGATTCAGAGAATGGAAGGGCGCTTTTTTACTATTTCGTGGAGTCACCAACTGATTCATCCAGTAAACCGCTTCTTTTGTGGTTAAATGGAGGTAAAATTCATCAACTTAATGGACTCGAAAGGTTGGGTTTAACCGTGAATTAGAAATTAAGTAGGAATATAATTCATTCATTTTTTTCTTTTTTGCACAGAAGGTTGAGCATTTTTTTCTTTCTTTCGTGTGAGATTTCTGCAAACGAAAAACTCGTTTTTTGAATAAGATGAAGCAAGAGTCATGTTTTGTGATGTTTATGCATGAACATAGTCCTCTTTCTAATTATATACAAAAATCTATGTTGGGATGGAAATATATACATAGAGCTTTGATCTATTAGAATTCAAAACCAAAATATGGAATAGGATTACATCAATTCAAGAAACCCAAAACAAGAAACTCCAATAGAAGTACAAGAAAAACAATCTCAGAAAAGAAACCAAGGATTTACAGGAAAATTCCGGAAAAAAATTCTGAGCCACAACAACAGAATTTTTCACACTAAAAAAGCCAGAAATTTGCAGAAATATTACTTCAGGCCATCGCTCTATAATCAATTGAACTCGCAAAACTTTGCTCTAAACCTTCCTCTCAATCTCACAAGTGAAAAACCTAGCTCTGAAATCCTCTCTCCCTGACAATCCACCTTCACGAAGAAATCTCTATCAAGAATACACAGCATGAGCAAATCTCCTTCGGCGCTCGAATCACGAACATAAGAATTGAAATAGTGAAATCGTCTCGACAGTGCGGTCTCACTGTGAGACTGTAATTAATTCACACGTTCAATATAAAAAATGTGTTGAGCGTCCAATTGGAATAGATATGCTTAGTTGCAGCCTAGTAACACCACCCGACACAGCTACACTAGTTAAGCTTGGCTACGCCATCCTGGAACCTTGCTCTGCTTGCCCTTGTGGGTGCACATGCTACTCAACTCCAATAATCTACCAATTGGAGATTGATTGCACCTGACACATGTCCACATGATATGCACCAACATTTATACCATCTTCATAGTAATATACCGTGCTGTGGCTAACCCCGAGTTTCTACATTCATGGACTCCAATTGAAGTCAAGCATAGCTTTAGTTTTTTGATAGTCACCATCTTCGTCCGTAGAATTCTGAACTGTGTGTATCTTCTCCAACAATAACTGCAAATCTTCTAAGAGAAGCTTACAAAGTGTTACCCTAGTTGAATATGCTTTATCATGGTATGAAAACAGAGTTCTTAACATGATGAATTACATTCGCATTGTCACTATGAAGCTTTCCAATCTCATGCTTCTTACCCAATTATGTCATATAGCCCTATAGACAATGCAGTCTACAAACCCAACTCACTGCTGTATACCGCAAAGTGAAAAATATACTCTCTTGTACTCTTACCACCCAAATCTCCCATAAGTTCTGAATATGCAAATCTCTATTGATTGATCTCTGCACTTCCATAGAAAAGTGCCCTATTAATTGTTCCCCTCAAATACCAGAGAATCCACTTCACCGTCTCCTAATGATACATGTCTAAATTGCCCATGTGCCTACTTACCACTTCCAGTTCATATGCAATATCTAGTCTGATATAAATTATAGCATATATCAAACTTTCAATTGTTGAAGCATACAAAGTTCTCCCCATCTGTATTTTCTCAGCTTCAGACTTATTCAATATTTCTTTAGATAGCTTGAAGTGACTACCTAAGGAAGTGCAAACTGTTTTCCCTCACTCATGTTAAACTTATGTAGAATCTTCTTAACATACTCTATCTAGGACAACTTCGGTATATCTTCACTCTTCTCCCTGTTGATTCTCATTATGATGATTTTTTTTATTTGAACCTAAATCTTTCATCTCCAACTAACTTGATAATTGCTCTTTTAAGTCCTCGATTTTCTTTATATCGGTAGTTGTAATCAACATGTCATTCACATATAAAAGAAGTAAGATATAACAATTACTGAAGCGTTTGATGAAGCAACAGTGGTCTGTCGGCACTTCATGTATCCTCTGTTTAGCATAAACCTGTCAAAGCTTTCACACCACTGTCTCGGGACCTGTTTCAAACCATAGAGGCTATTTTTTGACATGCATACCAAATTTTCTTTCCCT